CCCCCGAAATTGAATAACCTTGGAAGGGGCATCTTTTCATCCATTCTGCTCATCATGGTTACGCTGAATAATAATTTGGATTATCTGTATCCCAATTTGTCCGAAACTACGTGCATGCCCTCTCGGAACTATGCCTCGGCTTGAAACCGCCGAGGGAGGCCAATTTAGGGCTCAAACTCACACGATGTGCGTCGGCGAATTGTCCGCAGCCTGCGGACCGCAGGGACTAGAGCCGTGTCTTGTTGACGGTTACATACTGTACAAACGCATATCTGCTTTATCGCATAGTCGAAGCATATAGCCGCATAACATCGTAACGAGGTAACGAGATGTTAAAGAATTATTTTTCTGGCATTAACTTCGACTGGAAGATCCCCAGGAAGCACGATGAGTGGATCGCGTATCGAAATCTGATGATTCGCACAAAGTTGTTTGTGGCAAGGTACGGCAGGAGTGCTAACGTTGCAGGGGCGTAGGTTGTTCATCTGCGCATATCGCTAGTGGCGATTCGCTACGGCAGCTGCAGCTAGGCGTGTGGCGTATAGACTGCACGTGCAGTAACCAATCACTTCCCCGACCTCGAATTAATGCCGTCTTGGCCCAGGATCATCAGGTGATCCTGGGCCTCTCAGCCCGGCGAGCATTCTCCTACCACACCGTCTACCACGGCGACAACGAAGGCTCTGCTAACAGTCTGACTCGTAGTCTCGTCACGAGGCCCACGTGCGAGTCGCCGCACGAAGAGACGACACAATCAGCGCGCACCATGGGGGAGTCACTCCCAGGAAGTGATCGGCAGCCCATTGTCAGCGGTTTCCCGCAGCAGTTCGCATCTAGTTCTGGAATATGCGTTTCATCACTCAGAGCAATAGCTGTCCGGCAAAAAGCAGTATTCTCAGTATTCGCCTTAGCCGCTCGAAGCGGCAGGATCTGCATCTATTCTCGTCCGCCCCCATGTGCTGGACTACTGACGCACGCGCGCACGTGCATTCATCGCTTGTTCATTAACCGGGACAAGGGATTCGCTCAGTCCGGGAACGAATAGAGCGGTACGCTTACCTGTTCTCTTTCATCTATCAAAAGTTCAGCATCCTTTCCGATTCATACGTGTTCTACGTAACCTGCCAACGCTGATGCTGCGCATCCTGTATCTCATTTTTGCTGCGGCCCTCTTCCCGATCCAGAGGGCTTTCGAGTTCTATGCCTACTACACGGACCAGAATGACTTGGCTGGAAAAGACCAAGCTTACTTCGATTCTCTATTCAGTTGCGGAGTCACAGAACTGATATTCGGAGGAATCTCCGCTTCGTCAACAGGCGAATTGTATAAGGCCTTTCCTGATGATGCCCACTTGCGTATGGCACGCAAGGCGGCTGACAAGCACGGCGCCAGGATCTCTTTCATGCTCCAAGGTATTCCGTTTATTGGTGCTGGCACGTTGCCCTTGGTCACCTTCCTGAAGTCAGCTAACGATATGTTCAAGAAACACTCTTTTGATGGCATTAACTTCGACTGGGAGTTCCCCAGGAACAACGATGAGTGGATCGCGTATCGGAATTTGATGATTGGGACCAAGTTGTTGGTGGCAAGAGAGGGCAGGAGCGCTAGTGTTACAGTGGCGTAAGTTGTTCATCCGCGCATATGGTGGAATTATGTATCATCCTTCAGTATCGGGGGTTCATTCGACCTTTACAAGAAGATCGACTTATGTAGCCGTATCGACATGTGCCTTTGGATGGGATACGACAACCATAATGACCCCAGAGGACAATCCAACATGCTTTGGGTGAAAACGATGGTCAAACAATGGTTAAGCTATGAGTCGATGAGTCCAGGCAAGTTCGGTCTGGGGGTGAGTGATAGCACTAACACCCTCAATTACTTCCAGATGCTATTCTCTGAAGGTACCTCTTTACGGCGAGAACCGAAATGGGAGGCAGATAAGATATTCTCAGCTCGTGGCTGAGGGGGCCGACCCCAAAGGCAATGGAACCTTCAACGGGTACTTTTTCGATTCTCAGCCCATACTGCAGGATAAGATAGAATTCGCCAACCTCAAGGAGTTGGGTGGGCTAATGGCATGGGTATTGCAGTCTGACCTCCCTCCGAACGACACACGTTCCCTATTGTATGGTATCAAGCAAAAGCTAAACCCACGAGATGATTCCTAGACGTAGAGGGCAGTCTATAGTCTTGATTGTTGGCTCTGTGTAAAAGAGTACAGCTCCATAAGTTTCCGCTTCAATTCGTAGATGAAGCTTCCAATACTCATTGAGTCATCTCAGCATCCCTGTCACATCCCAGTACTTGTTCTGATGGGCGTTGTGTTCCGTCAATAGAATGTCGTCTTTTATCCAATGAAGCCGGAAGAATGCGTTGGGTGCTAACACTGAGGTTCAGGTTGCGAGTCTGTGCGACAGACTCGTAGCGTCACGCTACTAGCGTACATCGTACGGGTTCATCACCACGGGTTCACCGTGTAACTTGTACAGCGTACAAGTTACACGATGAACCCATGGTGATGGCGCTCATTTTCCGCTGATATATACGACTCGAATAATGCGGGACAGTTCTGGAACGGTATGCGGATCCTAATGCAACAGGTGAGCCAGAGTATCTACTCAAATGAAGACATCAGAGGATGAATATTGTTCCTGATTCAATGATTTTTTACTCTGGAGCGAGTGCCCCCATTGAATCTGAGAATTTTCGAGAATCAGGGAAATAAGGTTTGAATCACACATTCTTGACAAACGGAAGACTATATTCGCTGCGTCCGGCAACTGAAAATCACAAGTTCTACAAAGAAAAAACCGCCACTCTGTAAGCTTCGAACCTGGGAGATACGCCGCGCATACACGTGCATCTCTCGCTCCACTACAGCGATGATGCAATCTTCCCGCGGAAGTCGTTTGTCGCGCGTATGCAAATCCGTACATTTATCCGTAAACTTTTCAATATATTCACTCAAACGTCCGAGTCGACTCAGCAGGTCGGCTGACTCTAGGCGTCGACTGTAGCTCGCCTATATTGAGCTCGAACATCATAACTCACTCGGAATTGCACTAGAGAGCCCCTACTATGCTAACATTACTACTACTGTTAGTAGGCAGTAAAGCTAACAGTAAGAACACCGAACACGCACGTGTATTTCACACCGGTTGGTCGCATGACATCGTACAACGTGTGCAGTCTACACCTCCATCTAACATCCAATATCAAGTACTCTCACAGCTAAACCTGTTGAGGATTTGTTCTTACATGTCGGAAGCCTAGGATCTATTCCCGATCCAGTCATTCTGAGAGGGCCTCTAATAGAGGCTTTAAGTTAGAGCCTGCTCGCGAGAATGTGAGGAAGCTCCACAATAAGCTCCATCCTGGAGCGCGCGGATGCCGTGAAACGAGTCCAAGCGGTTCTGAGGTTGAATAAAAAAACCTTGACTCGTGAGGGGCATTCTGGAATCACGAGCAAAATCCCAACTCTGAGTATAGACTCTCGAATGGATAAAATACTCTAACTCAGTGCCGAAACCTTTGAAGATGAAAGTTTCAGAGTCTGAACCACCCGTGGAGGATAGATTCGAAGCTTGAATCGTGATTGAGGATTAGAAATCAGATTCAATGGCCAATTAAAATCACGGTTCAAGATCCTGCTCGTGATTAAGTAATCTGACTCTCAAAGTCAGACAGAGTCAGACTCCGTCTCAAGTACACATACTAAGAAAGCTCAGCTCTTTCTCTAAGCAAAGAATCTGAATCGGTCATCTCGAATTAGGGTGTGAGTTGAATCACGAATCACAATCACAGGGTGAGTCGAATCATGGACTCGGATTCGCGAATCAGGATCCGCCTACTGCCCCTGTTCAACTGAGTTGAACAGAGGAAGTATGCGGATCCGGAGTTGATACAACTCCGACGGAGTCACTCCGTGGATGATTCCAGTTCAGGAGCTTAGTGCTTCAGCTCAGGATGGGGGCAATCCCTGTTACTTCACCAGTATTCACTAAAACTATCTTACAGAATACACTCTTGAACTTAGAACCTTGCGTTGTAATTCCGGTTAATCTACAGGAGACGCCTTCCATTGGAAGGCGTCTTACACGCTTGGAAGGCTTCCAAGCGTTTAACACGCCGCGTGTTGCATGAGATCTTCCCTGATGATGCGGACTTGCGCGTATCAGGCGAGGCGGCTGATAAGCACGGATCCAGAGTCTCCTTCACGCTCCAGGATATTTCGGTCATCAACGCATTCATCAATGAACACATTCTTCGTTTTGTTGAAATAGCTAACGATATGTTTAAGAACAATTCGTTTGACGGCATCAACTTCGTCTGAGGTGGCCAAGAAACAAAAAGAATTGGATCGCGTATCGAAACCCGATGATTCAGGCCGAGTTGTTGGTGGCAAGGGACGGCAGAAGCGCTAGCGTTACAATGCTATACGTCGTTCACCCGCGCGTATGGCCGAACTCTGTATCGCCATCCAGTATTGGTAATCCATTGGACTTCTGCAAGAAGATCGACTAATCACGAGCCACTCATGCCGCCATATTGAAACGTACATTCAGATGGGATACGACAACCATAACGTCCCCAAGGACAAGGGACTAGGAAGTATCCAAAGATTTGGAGCGAGCTTTTCAGGAAAAAGGAATGAAGACTTCAAAACTCAAGGGCTATGAGATCAAACGTGGCATTATCAATGGCATTAGTCATTAGTAGCATAGTAATAAGCATTGGTAATATAGCATCACCGATGGATTAGAAGGAGACAGGAATGGGACTCCCCGCATTCCATGATGGAATTTCTGGGGATGGAATTTCCATCCCCAGGCCTCCTATGAGACCTCCTCAAGAGGAATACCGAGGCCGAGACGCTGGGCTCTCGGGGTACGTAGGGACAAACCAAAAACAGACTCACCGAAAAGCTACGTTATTGACGCTATTTGGCAGACATAATGGACGGGGAGATGAACGCTGCAATCGCGTAAAACATGACTCAGTGATACTCACGCGTCGTCTTGGCGTCTTCTCGGTCGCGATTCATTCGAGCTCGAGCGTCGATGGCGATTGTATCCCTGATCGGAGAACAAGTGCATAGCAACGATAGACCAGCGATGCTCTGCCATCGAGTTAATCCCACCAGTCAAGAGCAGAGAGCTTCCGATGTAGGAGTACTGACACGACTAGAGTGCCGCTAACCCGAGCTATCCATGCCCCAGCTACTCCGAGGGAAGTCTGACACAACAACGCGGGGTCGGCAAAGAGCTCGCGTTCAGGATTTCCTCTCGGTGAAGCGAATCATTGGAGGCATCATTGAATTGTGTGTAAGAGTCGTGCCTTACCCAGAGACACATGTATGTCCCTAAAGGAAGCATGACGAGGTAAAGACCCTTGAAGTTGGACATTGCTGCAGTCTTTTGATAACCCAGTCCCTGAAGAGGGATCCGGTTAAGCCAGAAAGAGCAATTCGGAAGTGGTTCTCACTTTGCACGTTCCAGCCAAGGACGCCTGAGCACTACTGGTAAGCATCGAGAGTGCAATGATGGGGATTATGTAGTATAGATAATGATGCACGAGAACTTGTCCAGGGGCATACAATTCAGCAATGAGCCTGAGGGAGGAGGCAAATTGCCCCGGGCAATATACTACATATTGGAACTCCCTTATATTGTCCAAAAACCTCAAGATTCGTGGATGATAAACCGACTAGAGACGACCTTCGACCCCTCCCCCCAAATGATAGTTCGAGACCGATTCGTCACAAGACAGATTTGTTACCTGCTGCCCAAAACTAAGAGAGCCCCGATTACAGCGCCGCTCAAGACGCTGACAACTAATCCACATCTAGAGCCCGCGTGGGCGATAGATACCTAGAGTAACACGATCCTATGGAATGAAGGACTGAGCTCACGTTGCCCTTGCCAATCGATAAACCAACTAAGATTCCAACAGCACTGCTCAAACCCAATGTAAAGGTGTACCTAATGATACAGTGTCGGAAGGATCAGCCAACCGATGAGAGCACGACAAGAATGCTCACACAGTGTGAGTCACACTAGATTGTAGAGGTTAGCAGCCGCGACATGTGCAGCAAGTTGAGCAGTATCGTGTAGAAGGCCGACGATCATGCTGAAGATTTCGCTACTCCACCAGTCCAGTGCTAGCATAATGGTAGCAGGAAGTGCAACGTGACAGTAACTGAAGAGACATGAAACTCTAACTAACAAAGACTGCCAATACGAAGAGAGACGAACAGTTCTTTAGTGTACTATGAACCCACTACGGTTGTGAGGATACAGTTCGAACCCATCTCAGCGCTGGACGGAGATCCAACCGCACTCACCGCGCGATGCCTCGGAGGCTCCAACAGGATCTATACAACGGTAGTCTCATAGTCCCCTTTGGTAGATTGCAGAACGGTGATATGATGTATCTGACCTTTCGAAGATCATCTCTAGTAGCATCTCAGGACCTATGCCATGCTCATTCCCGGGCTAGTGTAGACTATACACATTGAATGAATTGGGACCCAAAGGTACGTACTACATACGTCTGACGTTCAGACCTTCCACGCTCACATACTATGTGAGCTTGGAATCGCTGGAAGCTCACCCTAGCAAGAGTCCCAGCTCACCCTACATCATCAGAAGCACTAGACTGAAGCTCCAGGACGTCGCAATGGCCCAACCAGCACCAGCTACGCCTTGCCGAAATCTATCAATATAGAGCCAACACCAAAGAGGATGTACACACACCTGAGAGCTCCAAATGAGAAAAATTCTCAACCGGAAGTGGGCAAGGAGAGCTCAAGTCTCACCACAAGGCCATATGCATACATATTAACATAAATGTCGCGATGGCAGTTGAGAACTTTGCGCAGGCAATCTGAGGAAATGAGAGAGATGGCTGGAAGAAGTATGTATTACTGAACATGCACAACGGCCATGCTCCGATGCAGGCTCCACGAACATATTGGCCCGAAAGCTCTGCGATGCTCGGATCTTGTTTCAACCAAATCAGTATGCGTTCTGCCTCCCAGGCAATAGGCAGTGTCGCAAAACAGTAGATAGAAGACGTTATTTCGGCACGGTTGATATACCTAAATTATCAGCGATCATCTCCGAATACTGAGTAAGTACATCCCACAGAGCAACCAGATCAGGATCCCCCCGACCATGCGCTTGGGCTACCAACGTGTCGATACCACTGCTAAGCCCCAGGCTAATTGTCACGCAAATACCTGACCAGTTCGGCGGTTCCGCAGTGCGAAGATCACGGGCCGTATCGAAGCATTACAGTTGAGTAACAGGTTTCCCAAACCTACAGCGGCGATCATTCGATCGTCCTTGAGGCGGCCAATGAATGATAAGCTAATTACTTCCGGAATTAGAGTTAAAACCTACAGGTGGAATAGTTTAATCTGATTCTCTATAATGAATCGATATTACAGTAGCGACTACTTGAGGCCACGCCAATTTGAGCAGTGCAACTATCATCTGGCCGCGGTTCGAGAGCGATCGATAGTCGCCACTTGGTTCCACGCAGCTACATCTTCAGCGCTTTCAGAGTCCAATAGCGATTCTCCAGCACTCCCTTGAGAGTGGGATGGCGACGCTTTGGCGTTCGCTGATATTGAAGAGATCCGATGGTCCATGGGCATCGAGAAACTGGAGGAAGAACTGCGGGCGGCATTGATTTGGCCCCTGACTTGGGGGTTACGCTAAGAAGCACCCAGTGAGTTCAGTGCAATGCCCCTGGCAACCTCCGCCTCTTTATATCGTATTTCGAGGACGATTGACTTGAAAGTGAGTTGTGGATGATTATATGTAACACGATGCTCACACGATCGGTTACAGACCGTAACTCACAGAAAATCACCAAGGTATACAACCTTGAGAGTCTCAAGTTGAGACAACTAACTATTGCTAGCAGCTTCTTGCTAGAGTCCTCCATGATATTTACGTTCAAGTTACGAGCCTAACAGACTCGTAATTTGAACCATGCTATGAGGCTGTATCACAGACTCAGTCTGTACTACAGAATCATAGCATACAAATTATACGGTAAATACGCCATCAAGGAGTTCTTTCTCCTCTAATATATATGACTCGAATAATACGAGACAGCTCTGTTCGACGTCGTCAATGATTCCAGAGATCATAAGTCTTAGTGAGATATCAGGCGGAAATAGTTATCCAATAATAATAACTATTATTGTAATGACATGTGTAATGACAGACACAACGAAGACGGAACGAAGCCTAATCTCTTACAACAACAAACGCATATTTAACTTAGCGAAGCGATCTATGACATCATCGAGATCCAAGGCTTTCGCCCCAAGAATCGGATGATTGATGCCTGTGATAACATATTCCAAAAGGGGTTGAGACTTTCAGCCTAGGCTTCCCGCTGAGTGATGATCGTCCTAGGCTAGAACGATCGTTACTCGTCGGGAAGCCTGACAGCCACTGGCTGCTTCATGCAACGAGCAATATGTATGCCTGATTACTGCAGCGCTCATGATAGTGCACGAGCGACGTCTAATCAGTGTCTATATAGAAAGCATATATGTGTACGCGGAGTGTGGTACGTTAAGAGTCCATTGTTTCTTCAGAAGACTACGCCAGTGCGTACTCTTGCGTATCCCATTGTCTGCCACTGCAGGCTACACAACCCTTGCGGTTCAAACTGTCTGAGGATAAGCGTTAGTTCACGTCTCTTGATTTGCGGAGCTCATATGCATGCGTCGCTCCGTAGATCGCAAGTTAGCGAGTTACTAAGCAGAGTTTTACGGCAAGATAACGGGTCTGGAATGCATGTCGTGGATATTACGCGCCCCCTTGCTGTCATTCTGATCCGTACTACGGAATCCGTAGTACGGAATCCGTAGTACGGAATCCGTAGCTTTGCGCGGCTGGGGGTGCACGAAGAGACGACATAACCAGCGCGCACAATGTGCGCCGCACAATGGGGAGTCGCTCCCAGGAAGTGATTAGAAACCCAGTGTTCTCCGCAGCAGTTCGCATCTGGTTCTGGGGTTTCATCGTTTGAAGCTTCAGCTCCCCGACAATGAGAATATAAAATCTCTCACGCTTCTTACGCCTCGGCCGCTGGTAGCGCCCGGAGCTGCCCAATTTCCGTCCGCTCCAAAACGTGCTGACTACTAAAACACGCACGCGCATTCATCTCTCTCATTATCCGAGACGAGGGATTCGCTCAGTTCGGAAGCGAACAAAGCGGTACGCTCACCTGTTCACTTTCATTGATGGGAAATTCAGCCTCCTTTTTGGTTTATACGTGCTCTACGTAACCTGCCAACGCTGATGCTGCGCATCCTGTATCTCATCTTTGCTGCGGCCCTCTTCCCGACTCAGAGAGCTTTCGAGTTCTATGCCTACCACACGGGCGAGAACGAATTGGCTGGAAAAGACCAAGCTTACTTCGATGCTCTATTCAGTTGCGGAGTCACAGAACTGATATTCGGGGGAATCTCCGCTTCGTCAACAGGCGAATTGCATAAGACCTTTCCTGATGATGCCCACTTGCGTATGGCACGCAAGGCGGCTGACAGCACGGCGCCAGGATCTCTTTCATGCTCAACATATCCCATTCATCAATGCTGAGATAGGGCCCTTCTTCACCTTC